TAATTTGGCATCAACATGCTGGTGCAAGACAGCCAATGGTGGCGTGGTCCCTCTCTGTGCTGAGCATGTCCTCCCTCAGTCCATCCTCCGTGACATCTGTCCTCCTTTAGCTAGGGGGAATAGTGTCAGATCAGAAATATCACTCTGCAGGGAGAACTTGGCATTGGTATAAAGGTATGTTTTAGACATTTTCTTTGTTTTCCATCCATCTTCTTTTTAAAAAAAAAAAATTTTTTGAGAGTGGCTAGGATAAGATGGGTTAGTCTGAACCAAAACAGTTTTTCTTGAAAAACCTGTTTTTTGGGGGGTTTTTTTGGGTTGGCGTAACACTTTCACCTGCTGATGGATGAATTGGAACTAAATTGTCTTCCTAGAAATACATATATTACTTAAAGTCTTACTAGTGAGGAATGTAACATGTATGACACGTACAACTAGCTAATGTGAAATACAAGTTTCAATTAACTGACTGACAAATTACTATTTTAGTGCTGAATAATAGGACTGCAGTCAACCAGTTGCAACTCAGTGTTTTGTTTTTTTTTTCGTTTTTTTTTTAGCAATCCTTCAGGTGACTTGTGCCACACAAGTTAAAAAATCACTTTTGTATATCAATGGTTTGTAACCAGTTTACTGTGACACACTTGCCTTGAGACACTTTTTTTTTGCAGTGCATATCCATATAGCAGACGCGCGTGAGTTACCCCGACTGCAATCCTCCGGCATAAATATAACATGTATAACAATGGGGTATACTATAATACATGCACAATTTTGTAAGTAAGTGAATATTTATAAATCTTTATTTTCATGCGATAAAAGGACAGACATGTTAATATTGCCGCAATCCATATGTACATGGCTCACAGGAACATGCTACATTAAATATACTGTTAAGATACATTTCGCATGTTTTTTTTTAAGTTATATTGGGCTGGGATGTTGTAACGTGGGCCTTAACTGTGGAAGTTTTGGGTGAGTGTTCACTCGACTATGTGTGCCAGCGCAGTTACCTTGAAGCCATCTAGCGTGTGGGGCATGCAGTATTCGATAAGCTTTTGTTTGTGGGAGTCAAATCCCCATCCGATCTCTGGTATCTGTTTGGTTATGGTACTCCATATGGTGTTCAGGGCTAGAGCCGTGTTGGTGTGTGGGGAGTCGTGGCACTCCCTTCAGCGGCATCCTATATGGTTTTAGATTATGTCTATTATACCTTCCTTCGTACGCTGCATGGCTCTTGCCTGGACTGGAGGTGCGCTGTGTGGCTTAGCTAAGTATAGTGATGAAGGTGGCTGTGTGTAAGCATGCTGTAATAAATGTTTGAGTCTAGTGGGTGTCTAGGTGGGTGGGAGCTGTATGGAAGCCTATCTGCGCCCAGAGGGCAAAGAACCCACGGCGTGAGAGGAGGAAGAAAGCGTTAGACTATGTGTGAGTGTAAGGCTCCCGTGCTGGTAGTACCCTATTACCCCAGGGCGGGGGGGGGGGAGGGAGGGAGTTGTCGCCAGAGCCGGCTGGTGGGGCCTCCAATAGGTCGCTATCCCACTATAACAGAAAGAGGTGAACCAGTAATACTAACGCTTGTAAGCGTAACTAAACATTTTAGTAAGAGAGTCTCAGTAAAAGTCCAAAAGTCCCAGACCGAGCGCGTCGTTTCAGGACTTGGTGTCTCCATGGGGTCTGGGTGTAGCCGTTGTTGTTGCTTCAACCCTCCTGGGTCGGTGGCCTGGCAGTGGCGTTGAAATTGTCGGCAGAGTTGGGAGTCCCAATGTCGCCATTAGAGCTGGGCCCTCAGAGGGATCCGTGGCCTTGTAATGTTTGTTGTCTTTGGTAACCCATAGGGTCCCCGGAGTCGACCACTTGTAGGTAATGCCTGCTGCGTGGAGTGGTTTAGTAAGTGGTTGCATTTGTTTGCGCCATAGTAGTGTGGCTCTGCTCAGGTCTTGAAAAAAGGATAATCGGCAATCCTCAAATTCCATAGGAGTCTTTCCCTGGAGCGCTGCTAAAAGTCCCAATTTGTCTGACATAGACTGGCACCGTAATATGATGTCTCGCGGTGCTGCGCTGGGTGCCTGCGGGGATTTCGCAATTCTGTAGACTCCGTCGAATAAGAAGGTTTTGGCTTGTCTGGTTGGAAGTAGTGCAGCTACGAGGCGTCTGATGAAATGTGGTAGTTCCTCCAGTGGGATGGATTCCTGCACCCCTCTGATTTTGACGTTTTTGCGTCTCCCCCTGTCGTCCAGTAGGTTGACTTGTCTGGAGAGGGCAGTCTGTGTGGTGGTTAGTTTTTGTACTTTCTCCCCCAGCTCTTGTAGGCCTTGTTTCAGGGTTTCCACTTCATTCTCTGTAGCTTGTGTACGTAGTGTCACAGCATTTACATCCCCTTTTAGCACTGCCAGGTCAGCCTCCCACATTTGCCTGAGGTTTTGTTGCAGGCTTGTCAGCATGGCCTGGATATCACTCCTGGATGCTGGGGCATTATCCTCCATTACCCGTGGGGGAGCTGCCTGACATGGAGTGAGTGGGCTATCAGGTGGTTCTCCTTCCTCTGAGGGCAGTGGAGAGGAGTCCCGATGGGACGTGGTCTGCGCTGCACTTGGGGCCTGCAACATCTGGCCTATGTCGCGCTGGGGCCTTGGGGTATGTGTGGGTGGTTTCTGAGACTTGCGCCCCATCTCACCTGTGTGTGGCAGGCTGTGGTACCAGTCTTCTAGAGCAGGTGAGCCCCAGGGCCAGATTCCCTCCTCTGAGTCTCTCTGCCGTCCGCCCGCGTGGTAGGCCTTACCGCCTCTGCGTCGTATTTTGGAGCCGGGCGCAAGAAAGAACGGCATCGGCGGCTTCGGCTGGCTGTCCTGGGTTTAGACCCAGCGTCTGTGACCAAGGTCGGTATCGGGTGCTCCCAAATCGGCTGGATTATGGGTATCCAAGCGGGAGCTCCACTATTGTGCGTCCGCTCGGTTCCGTTGTCAGGCTCCGCCCCCAGTAAGTGAATATTAAATAGAGAGTGGATGGTGAAAAGAACTGACCGTTTAGGAAGTGCAGGCAAGCCACTATATATGGGGATGCACTCCCTGTATCCCTTAACCAAATGTGCAAAAAAACAGAGCTGTATATACTATACAGAAATAGGGCGCCACTTATCACCAGATATACATACTGAATATAGTTACCCTCCAACGAGCAGATGAGGATATTCACATAAAAGATATAAAAAGAGAAAACATCATAGTGCAAACTTTTAATCCAAAATGGTAAAAAACATATAAATAAAAACACTCACAAGCGGTGTGGCACAATTGATGAAATCAATATGTGCTAAAGTGCTGATGCCTATAATAGGCTAAATCTCCCGGTCTTAACAGTCTGTAGGCGTCTGTGTAGAGGCTGTAGCAGAGACAGATGAAACAGTTCACCATCAGCTGATCCAATTCCCGGGTTTGCTCAACGCGTTTCGTCTGTTCTCAATCAGACTTCCTCAGGAGCGATCCATAATCTTCTCTTACCGGCGTTTAAATATGCCGGGCGGCGTTCTTTCTGTGCAATTGCGCATGCGCGCGGGCGCCGGCGTGATGACATACCATTCGCCGACGTCAGACGTGCATGTGCGTTCCACCGTGGAACGCATGCAAAAAGCTTTATTAATCTAAGCAACACTAACAACACTGGGACTTGTCAAAAGTGAAACCAGTGTGTTCCGATGCTATTATATGTTGAATGCATATATAGAGAAGATTCAAAAATAGCATATGATGTGAATGTATATAACTTAAATATAAAAATGAATATATACAGCAATGAGTAAAACGAAAAAGAGATATATATATATATATATATATATATATATATATATATATATATATATATATGTATATATGTATATATGTGCTTATATGCATGTAGAAATAATATGTGAATCCAACATATTACATTAAATCAGAATAATTTCAATTCATATATATATATAACAGTAATCATAATGATATATAGATGTTTTAAACTGACATAATTCAGACAAGCCAGTATTTTAGACAGAGCATAATTTTAAACAGGACATAATTTTGAACAGAGCCTAATTTTACAAAGGCATAATTCTAAAAATACATAATGATAAGAACATCATCATAAAATACCATAGTATTAAACAGTTTTAAAGTCGTTTTAAACTAATATGGCTCTCCAAAACAACAAAATTCTGTTGAGAATATTAAAAATACTAAAAAATTCCAAATTAGAAATAACTCAATAGGGGACGAATATGCAATAAATAGAAAAAGAAAAGAATAAAAAAGAGAGAAAAAACAAGTTAATAATTCTCCAGTCGATCATATAGTCAATATAAAATATAAAATATATATAATCAAATATAAACCAATGTGCCATTAAAATCAGAATAAATGTAAAAAACATGTCATCTTGGTGGAATTAGTCCATAAACACTAAAATATCCAAATCTGTATTAAGACCGTCTGGAACAGAAGTTTTTAATTTATAGATCCATTCTGTTTCTTTCATAGCCAGACGTTTTTCTATGTCTCCACCTCTCCAATGGGGGCTGACCCGGTCAATACCGATACAGCAAAAATTTTCTATTTTAAAATCTTTACAGTTATTACAGTGTCTTGGTACACTATGTTTTATACTTTTTCTTCTAATTCCACCAAAATGTTCCAACAATCTTATGTGCAATGTTCTTATTGTGCGGTCTATATATTGTATGCCACATTTACACTGTAGCAGATAGATAACATGTTTACTTTGACAATTTATAAAATGTTTAATAATAAAAGACTCCCCTGTAATGGTGCTCTTAAAATCAAGTGTTTTATACGATTGGTATTTACAAGTGCTGCATCTGCCGCACTTATAAAATCCTTTTGGTTTTTCTCTCAAAAAATTGCTTTTTGAATTATCTAATTCACTATTACTCTTAATCCCTGGTAGAACACTAGGAGCTAAAATAGATTTTAAATTCTCAGGTTTTTTATATATTATCCGAGGCTTTTTAGGTAAAACATTTTTAAAAAATTCATCTTGGTTTAAAATAGGCCAGTATTTCATGATTATTTTTTCAATTTGGTGTGCCTTGTTATTATATTTCGTTATGAAGGCTGTATTGAAATCTTTGTTTCCTTCTTTCTTCTTTTTTCCTTCTAAGAGATCCTTCCTATTATATTTTTCTACTTGTTTTTGTGATTCGTAAACCAAGTTTGTCGGATAATTCCTGTTTTTAAATTTCTTATTTAAAATCCCTACTTGATTTTCAAAGTCACCTTTTTCAGTACAATTCCTATATATTCTCATTTGTTGTCCTTTGGGTATATTTCTAAGCCAGTTTGGGTGATGGCAACTAGAAAACTCAATAAAACTGTTACCATCAGTGGGTTTAAAAAAAGCTTTACTTTGTACTCGTCCGTCCTTAATAAAAAAAGTTAAATCTAAAAAATTAATATTCAATGAGTTAATTTCTGCTGTAAAAACCAGATTGTAAGAGTTAGAATTAATATATTTTAAAAAATCTTCTAAAAGAGTTCTTGGTCCCTTCCATATAATAAGAACATCATCTATATAACGTCTCCATAGCACCAGGTTTGCGCCGAAGGGATTATTTTTCCAAATGTTCTTCATTTCCCAATTCGCGACAAAAATGTTTGCGTAACTCGGCGCAAACCTGGTGCCCATGGCTGTACCACAAGTTTGGAGATAATATTTATCGTTAAACCAAAAAAAGTTGTGATAGAGAATAAATTCAATGGCGTCCAGTATAAAATCTGCTTGTAAATTGTTCATACTTTGATTTTCATAAAGAACTTCTTTTACTGCTTGTATACCTTTGGAATGATCAATAACCGTATACAAGGAGGCAACATCAACTGTTGCCCATAAAAAATCATTTTGCCAATCGAAATTCTCAAGTTCTGATATTATTTGTGCAGAGTCTTTAACATAAGACGGAGTTTTGATAACAAACTGTTGCAGAAAAAAATCAACATATTGAGAAATATTACTGGTTAAAGATCCAATACCACTGATTATTACCACGGTGGAACGCACATGCACGTCGGACGTCGGCGAATGGTATGTCATCACGCCGGCGCCCGCGCGCATGCGCAATTGCACAGAAAGAACGCCGCCCGGCATATTTAAACGCCGGTAAGAGAAGATTATGGATCGCTCCTGAGGAAGTCTGATTGAGAACAGACGAAACGCGTTGAGCAAACCCGGGAATTGGATCAGCTGATGGTGAACTGTTTCATCTGTCTCTGCTACAGCCTCTACACAGACGCCTACAGACTGTTAAGACCGGGAGATTTAGCCTATTATAGGCATCAGCACTTTAGCACATATTGATTTCATCAATTGTGCCACACCGCTTGTGAGTGTTTTTATTTATATGTTTTTTACCATTTTGGATTAAAAGTTTGCACTATGATGTTTTCTCTTTTTATATCTTTTATGTGAATATCCTCATCTGCTCGTTGGAGGGTAACTATATTCAGTATGTATATCTGGTGATAAGTGGCGCCCTATTTCTGTATAGTATATACAGCTCTGTTTTTTTGCACATTAAGTGAATATTAAGCAGGATCAGATGTTAGATGAAGGATAGTGCATGGCATGAACATAGCTGATCTTATGATGCTCCAGCAGTATTTGTGGGTACAGGAGTAAATAAATCACTTGAAACCTAACTGCTAAGCAGCAGATTGATGAGATTGCACAAAACTAAACAAACTAAAAGTATAATACTTGCTTAAATTTGAGATAATCTGAGCATGGGTACTCTTATTGTACAATCGATGGACTACGAGGTTTGGGTATCAGAGGCCGCATGCAAGCTTCCAATTTCTTCCAGAAGGAGGTAAAGATGATGTTTAGCTGGAGCTCTGTTTAGAGCCATACATTTTGCGAGTCGGCTGTATGGACGTTAACCGCTATTATGGGGACCTCTGTGATGGTAGGTTCGTGTCACTGTTTAGGGTTGCTTTTTCACCGTTTTGCAGGGGCATCTTGTGGGGGTAGACAGGGATGACCCCCCACCGGTCCAGAGGGGGGGAACGAGGGATTGATGCTTGGCTGGCCGTGGCAGTCCCTCTCGCGCCCGCAATGCTCGTAGGCCTCTCCTCCGTGTCGGGTGGATGGGGTGTGGGTCGTCGCTTGTCTGGTGTCCACCTGTGCACCCCGATTTCACCGCACTTTGGGTAGCCTTTTTTTCTCGAATATCAGCCTGGTGGGCCCTGAAAATAAGCTAGATTTGCTGTATTCAGCAGGAGCTACTAAAATTAACGTCCTCTCTGCTTTGAGGTCAGGCCCCGCCCCTGCCCCCGCCTTAAGCCACTTTTACCTGTGCCTCAATCACATTGGCTTCTAGGGTGTAATATGCAAAATGAAAGGGACTAAAGGCTTCAAAACAACTTAATGAAGTGGTTTGGGTGTATAGATTATGCCCCTGCAGACTCATTGCTCAATGTCCTGTCATTTAGGATTTAAATAACTTTTGTTTCTATTTTTACAGCCCTTTGCAAATGTCCCCTGCTTATGACTCAGCCTACACCAAAAAAAAGGTTTAATTGTCAATCTAATGTTAACTTTAAAAAATAAAAAAAAATAAAAAAATATTATTAAACCTTGCTCTGTAAATTAAACTTCAATCTCAGGAGGCTCCTACAGGTTCTAGAAGGCTATTAACAGAGTAGGAGATAAGAAATGGTAAACAGACTGTGCAATAAAAGAAGTTTAAATATTAGATGTCTCTTTACAGGAAGTGTT